ACCACCATGCTAGACATTAGAAACTTGGTCTTCTTGAAGGAGTCAGGCAGATTCTTGGCCAAGAAATCTACCATGAAGCTCCCCAAGGCAAAAAAAAAAAAAAAGCCCAGGTAGCCCAGGCTACTGTAGAAGGCGTGATGGAGCCCTTACTGCGTTCAGTGATGATGTGGCCAGGCTCCAAGTACAAGTCTGTGTTAAACAGAGATTAATATGGATCAGGAAGCAGATGGGAATGCTCATTAGGTGCCTCCCATGCCAAACATTGTCTCACCCTTGTCCTTGTGTTGTAGCCTTAAAGGCCAGAGCATCAGGGATAGTTTTAGCCAAAATGGCAGACTACTACTACAAATGCCCTTTGCTGTAGGATGCAAATGGCCCTTGGGATAAGGAGCAGAGGGAACACAGAATGATGGAGATAAGCAGGAAGTAGCTGAGAATCTGGGAAATGGCCTTGACTGTGGGAGTGTCTTGGTGCTTCACAGAGACCCTCAAACCTACAGCTGTGAGGTCAGAGAAGCAAAGCCCGTTCAGGCCAATGTCATCCTAAAGAGATCTTCAGATGCCAGGAAGCAGTGATCTTGCTCATTATTTGGATTTTGATCTTCTGGACACTTCCCATGCTGATGTGTATCTGGAGAGAAAAGTAGCACGTCACCGTGTTGAGCTCAGTAATTCTATTCACCAAACCAAAAAACCGAACCCGTTGCCATCGAGTTGACTCTGACTCATAGCAACCCTATAGGACAGAGTAGAATTGCCCCATAAGATTCCCAAGGCTGTAATCTTTACGGAAGCAGACTGCCACTCCTTTCTCCCGTGGAGTGGCTAGTGGGTTCGAACCACCAACCTTTCAGTTAGCAGCCGAGCACTTAACCACTGCTTCACCAGGGCTCCTATTCACAGGCCCACAGATAGTCATATCAGACATTTTATTCTAAATTATCCATATCAGGTGCTATAATTGGATGTCCAAATACAGGGATGCCACTTAAAGAATTTCCGCTTGATAGTATCTTTTAAGAAGTATAGATAAAAACTAAAATTTCCTGTGCTTGCTCATCTTCCATATGATAGGGTGAAATTTTTTTCTCAAATGAAAACATTCTCACATAACATTTAAATATGCTTCTCAGTCCTGGAAAGAGCTGGAAAAAAATGTAGAACAAAATTCTAACTCACAAGAAAAGACCAGACTTACTGGCCTGACAGAGACTG